GGAGCCGTAAAATTTGGAGAGCTCCAGCCACGCCAGCTCTCCCTTCCTCCATCCTTCAGAAACCACGTTGTCCCTCTCCCGCTGCCCCGTCAACCTCTGGGGAGGGAAGGAAGGCCTGCTCGCCCCCCCCCCCTTCCAGCCGAAATCCGCCTTTCCTGGCACTCCTCAGAGTCTCGGATCTCATCCCCCACCGTTCCCCCAGGAGAGCTGGGGGCCACTGCTTCCTGGATTATCCTAAAAGCTTCCGAGGCCGTGAGGACTTGGCAGCGCCCCTGCCAGCATCCCTCCTCTCCCCCTCCGCTCTGACTGTCGCCTCCTTTATAAAGCCTGGCTCTCCCATCACCCCCACTTGCCCCTCACTGCCGCTGCCAGCTCTGGGCTCCATGGACTGGTAAGAGGGGCTGCTCTCTGGCCAGTTCAGGGGATGGAGGCCTCCCCTTAAACGGGGGTCATCGAGAAGGGTTTGGAAGACTTGATTGTCTCTGAGTGGGGGAGGGAGAGAGAACAGCGAGGTCTGGGAGGTCTCTGTGTGGGGAACCAAAGAGATTCTCTTTGGAGGTCTTTGGACACGGCTGGGCTGGGATCCGGTGGAGTCACCAGTTAGTAGATGATGGGGGGCTTCATTCTGATAGAAAAGATGGGCAAACATGAACAGACGTACAGGGCACGCACTCACCTCACAAAGGTTCGTGCATGATAAACCTGCAGAGACAGCAGGGGAGAAATCACCGAACATCACCGAACATGTCTGGTGGGGAACTCCCTTTGTCACAGAGGGAGAAGACAGACACCCCACCACCCAGCTCGGAAGGCACACACAGGCATCACGTGCACACACACACACACATTTGTAGATAACCCCCCCCCCACACACACACACACAGATGCACTGTTCTCAGCTAGGTTCCCCTACAGACCGAAAACAGATGCGGATGCTAGTGATACTCGGATTGACGATGGAGTTAATGTCCAGCCTAGTGCTTGGGCTCTAGGTAGACCCTCAGTAAATGTTTGCTGAATGAATAATGGATGAACGAAAGAAAACTATTTGGCCCCAGCTCTGGACCCTGTCCTGTTTCCCAGGAACCTGGGACAGCAGGGTGGAAGAGGAAAGGAAAGGAGGAATGGGTTGGTGTCCTGAGATCACCAGCTTGCAGTCTTCCAAGTGCAGCTTGGAGGTTTGGGTGGGGAGTAGAGAGGAGTGAACAGCTAGGAAGTCAGGAATGAGGAGACGGGGGTTCTGGTCCCAGCTCTGCTCAGAAGCAAGTTAGAACTTGTTGTGTGACTTGGAGCTATTTGCCTCTCTCTCTGTTCCAGAATTCTTTCCCTACTAGTGAAATGAGGACATGCACCACACAATTTTTATGGGTAGTCTAGCTTAGATATTCTCATCGTGCAATCACCACAGAAATTGAGGCTTGGAAGGGACCACGGCTGCAGCTGGGACTTGTCCCAGCAATTCAAGATGGCTTTGATCTAAGGATCAGCTTAAGAATGCTGTCCCCTCTGCCCTGACCGGTGTGGCTCAGTTGGTTGGGCGTTGGCCCACAAAGCCAAAGGTCACCAGTTGATTCCAGATCAGGGCACATGCCTGGGTTGCAGGTACAGTCCCCAGTCAGTTGGGAGCACATTTAAGAGGAAACTGATCGATGTTTCTCTCCCTGTCTTTCTCCCTCCTTTCCCTTCTCTAAAAATAAATAAACAAAATCTAAAAAAATTTAAAAAGAAAAAGAATGCTCTCCACCCCACCTCCAGGATCTAGACTAGAAGGGCCACCACCGACGCTGGAGGGTCGAACCCAGGCTTGAACCCAGGCGTGAACCCAGGCTTGGGGGCCCGACAGGTCCGCACGTGCCTTCCTCCTCTGCCCCTTAATGGCCATGCCGACCTGGCCAGACCACTTCACATTTTCGGTCCTTGGCGGAACTCCTCATCTATACCGTGGGGGTAAGAGTGACCACTTAGCAGCACACTCACTAGAACCAAAGATGCTCAAGACACAGATGCGGGGTATGAGGAACACGGGGACCGTGGAGACTGCTCCACGTACAAAGTGGATCGCCGCCTCTCAGGGAGGTGCGGGCACAGGCGTGAGTGGCAGGAACGGGGGACGGACACGTGTGGCCAAACCTGTCTATGGACTCCTTTGGGGGAGTGACAGAGAGGAGCGGACACGGCCCACGTCCAGGGCAGGTCTCCGTCGTGCGGGAGATGCTGCGGGCAGCCTGGTTCGGCTTTGAGGTAAGATGGTCCTGGGCAGTTCTGTCCACATCAGACCACGAGCGCTGTTCAGTGGGAAACCACCCGGCCTGTGCACAATGAAAAGGGCTGGACTCGGAGGAACGCAAGTGGAAGGTCACCCGGAAGGAAGCCAGTGCGCGCTGGGAGTCAGAAGCATAAACCGAGACAGGGCAGGAAACCAGAAAGGCTGACTTTCCAACACAACTGCATTGCTGTTCGATTTCGTGCTGATGAGCCACAGGGAAGGGTCTTTGCTTCTGGAAGCCCAAGTGTCTGTGGGTCAGGGTGAGGTGGGGTGGGGGTGGGGCGGGGTGTCGACCAGGTAGGGGCTGGATCTCATTCCCTGTTGCTTTTCAGGGAGACAGAAGAAACCAGAAAGATTAGACAATCTGGTGCCCGTAAATAACGGGAGGTGGGAAATGGGTCGCCCACCTTGAGTCAGATCTCTGAGCAACTGTTAGCACCTTAAGAGCAGCAGCTTTGGGAGAAGCCGGAAGGCTCCAGGGCTGCAGGCAGGAGGAGGCAAAGAATGGCTAGAGGTCGGATTGGGCTTAACCCCGGGAGTCCGAGTCACGGGCTCTGTGCCATGAGCCCCTCAATCTGTTCTAGAAGTGAACTGGGATGCAAACCTGCACAGCCAACGTCTGCAGGCTGAATGATAAAAGCCTGAGGGTGGAGAGGGCTGTCAACGGAGCCGGTCACGGAGGCCCCCCAGGGCAGTCCCTGATCCTCTGCACTCAGGAGCCTGGCGTCAGGAAGAAGGAAACAGATCCATCAGAAAGTCCCGCCCCGACTTGCTGGGTCTGGGGTCGGGGGGAAGGCAGCTGATCTAACGGAACTTCAAGGAGAAGGAAACTGAGGCTCAGAGCAACCTGACGGGGGCCAGGTCAGCCTAGCGAGTACAGGGCTGCAGCTAGAATTTAGGTGCGTCAACTTTTAGTGCAAAGACCTTTGTGAATATACTTTAATCCAACAAACAGGTGCCGGAAGACTTTTAAAATAATTATTAACAACGACGACAACGACATCTTTTCGTTTACTGTCTGCTGGCCAGGTGCCCACGGAGCTGGGTATTTTACGTACATCAATTCCTTCAAGCCCCAGGAAACTCTCCCAAACGTGTACCCAGATTGTCCCGGTGAGGAAACTGAGTCGCAGAAAAGACGACGCATAGATAAATCAGACTTGGGCTCCGGACGTGAGAACGTGTGTGTTACTTGGGAAACACGTACACGAAGATCGATTTTCACTCGGCTTGTGGATTCACTTTAACCATTCCACATTCGCCTTTCGAGCGCAACCCAAACGGGACCGCGAGGCGGGTAAACCAGCGGTGGCGGGATCGCGGTTGCAGGAGCGAGATGGCATCGATCTGAATTCCGGCTCGGCTGTTTGAAAAGAACTGTAAAGAACCACCCCCCCCAAAAAAAAATAAGCCACGAAAAATTTAAAAGCCGATGGCAGAGCGCTTAGGGAAAGCCAACTGGCACAAGGAAAGAAAAAATTACGAGAATTGATCAGAATTCCCTTACAAGACAAGGGTCACTTCGGGAGGTCAGCGCGGCGGGTGGAAGAGACGCCAGCCGAGAAAGCCGCGGCGGACTACGGGGGTGCGGGGGCCGGCCGGGCGGGGGGCGGCGGATCGGCGGGAACCGGGGGAAGGGGGCACTGGCCCGGACCCGCGCTCTGCATCTCCATCAACTCGCCTCTTGAAAGAGGGTGGGAGCCACGAACGCCCCGAAATCTTGCCAGAATGACGTATTATGCGCGTTTGTTTATCTCAAAGACATCCCAGACCCTCCTTCCAAGTTAGGAACCTAAGGTTCCCAACGTTGGCGGGACAACCGGGAAGCAGTGATAGCAAGGGGTCGCTCAGTCCTTCCCAGAAGCGTCCCTGCCCCGGGCTACTGGGGCGCCCGCCGCGGCTTCCAGGGCCCGGTGCGCAGGGGGCGAGTGGTGGGGCTATTGGAGGGTGGGTTTCGTCGGCGCCGCGGTGCGGCTCTAAGGGAGCTGGAGAGTGAGAGCCGGCGGGCCTGCAGGAGCGGCGGGGGCAGCTGGGGACGGGCCAGTGGGGGGGTGAAGAGGGTGGGAGAGAGGGGGAGGCGGTCACCCAGAAAGGCGAGCGGCCGGTGAGCGAGAACCGGCAAGCGAGCGCGCGCGCGCGCAGGCCCGGGGAGCGAGGTGGCGGTGCGGAGGAGTGGCGGGGTGGGGGACGGGGCAGGAGCGCGGCGCCCAAGATAGGTTTCTCACGGCCTAGGGCTGGGGAGTAGAGCGGACGCAGCCTGGGCGCTCAGTCTTGTTCCTTCCGTTCCGCTCAGGTTCGCGGCCACGCCGGTGGGCCGCGGGCCGTCGAGGCACACGGCGCCCTAAGGTGGCTCGGCGTCACCCCAGGGCCCGCCCCTCCTCTGCGCCCCCCGCGGTCCGAGCCCCGTCGCGCATTCCCAGCCGGACCCAGCCGGCTGCAGGGCAGCTTTCCCCGCCGCGGGAGGGTCTGCGAACCCGGGAAGCGCTCCGCCCGCGCCCCTCGTCCCTCGTCCCCGCCGCGGAGGGCCTAGGGAGGAGCGCGGGAGGGGGCGGGCGGCGACCTAGTTAGCGATCCCGCCCCCACTCCCCTCCCGCCCCCTCGCCGCGGGCCGGGCGGGCAGGGCCTCCTGTCGAGTCGAACCCTCAAGGGTTAAAGGCGGCCGCAGGTGCGGTGGGCGGGGCCCCGATTTCGGGGAAAAAGGAGCGCAGGGCTGGGATGAAGGCAGAGTGCGCGGGTGAGTCACGGGCGGAGCTGGCCTCGCTCGCAAGCTCTCTCGCTCGCTCGCTGGCTCCCGCCCGCCCTCCGCCCCTCCTCCGCAGGGTCGGGTCGCGGCCCCAGCTGGCCCTCGGCCCCTGCCCCTCGCCGCTGCAGAGCCCTCCAGCGCCAGGGCCCCGGAGCGCCCGCCGGATAGCGCGCCTGCCAGCCGCGCCCGGAATCCGAGTGCAGCCTCGAGGTAGGAGCCCAGGTCGGGGCAGCGAGGGGCCGGCGCTCCTGGGATCCTCGGAAAGACGTGCCCGGAACGCGCCCCAGCCTCCTGTGGCGCTGGGGAAGGTGAATCCGAGGGCTTAGAGCCCTGGCGAAGTGAAAAACTGGGTGGACAAGAGAGACCGGAGGGAGAGAGGAGGCTGGAAACTGGGGAAACGAGAGCGACTGGGAAAACCGGAGGACTTGAACCTTGAGGACTGGGAGCGTGGAAGTCCGACCACCTGAGCGCTGGTGACTGGGAGAGGCAGCTGGCGGAAAAGGGGAGGAGGGTGTCTCTCGCCACCTAACCGCGTTGGGGAACGCAAAGCCGGGAGGCTCTCAGAGCCGGGAGTGCGCGTCCTGCCGCCTTCCTCCCCGAAACCTTGCTGGCAGGCCCTGCAACCTCCGACTGGGCTCCCTGCCCTGTGTCGGGAGGGGCCACTCCGCGGAGCCTGGAGCCTCCACGCCCCGTAGCCCCTGGGGCCATTTCCAGGCGCCAAGAGCTATTAGGGTCCCAGGCCTCACTGCTCCCGCCCAGCCCCCTCTGGGCGGCCCTGCCTGGGCCTGAGGCTCCGGTCCTGCTGCTTCGCCCTGTTCCTTTCTTGTGGTGAGGCCGCAGGAGCCTGAGTGGGCGCCCCAGGAGCCCCTCTCTCCCTCTGGCAGACGACCGGGGCCACCTTCCCGGTCCCAGAGGCAGGAGGCAGTGGGGTGGGTGGCGCCCTGCTGTGGGAAGTCCCAGCCGGACAGCGCGGCACCTCCTCTGCGAGGGTCCGAGGGGGCCCAGGGACACAAGCCCCACACCTGGGGCACCAGGGCCCCCAGGCCTTAGGGAGAGGTGGTGAGAAGAGGGGGACCTTCAAGCCCAGATCAAGAATGGGGTGGAGGTCTTCAGGTTTCGGAATAGTTTAGGGAAAGAGTGGAGAGACCTGGGTCGCAGAGGAACACACAGCACATAGTTTTGACGGAATGAATGCATGAATGTCTTTGTTCAAGTCGCTTCTCCAAATACTGCCTCAGTTTCCTCTCTTATTTTTATTTTTTTCCAAAAATAAGAGAGTGAACCTGAGCGGTGGTTCTCGACATTTGGCTGCAGGTTAGAATGATCTGTGCGACTCCTAAAAATGACCCATGCCTAGAATGCACCCCTTTATAAAATCTCTTTGGGCAAGCCTTCCTCTCAATGTCTGTGAGTCTGGCTTTTCCTGTCGCCCCTGCTTCCCCCTCTCTGACCCTGCATCCCTTAAGGGATGGCAATTTTGCCTTCCCGAGCTTGCTGGTCGGCTCTGCTCTTCCTGACCCCCTTCTCTGGGGATGCCTGCCCTTCCCAGCTTCACATCTGGGTCTCCCCTCCATTGAAGGGCGCAGGTAGCGGAAAGAAAGCTGGCCACTGGCGTGGGTCAGGGCTGGGAAAGGCGCTGAACTTTCTCTGGTGGCCAGAAGGCTCCCAGAAACTGGCCCTGCAGCCCCAGGAAGGTGAAGCCACTGCCTGAAGGAAAGGTTTGGGGTCCAGGCAGGGAGCTGGGAGGAGTGAGGCTGAGGAGTGAAATGCTCCAAAATCTCAGAATCGGCTTTGGGCTTTGGGAAGTCAGATTCCTTCGCACTTTGAGTTTCAGAAACAGACCAACTCCTTCTCCCCATCTGTGTCCTGAGTTACACTGGGGCAGCCAAGATGGGTTTAGGTCCTCCACTTGGGCTGGCAGCAGGTCTGCAGGGGGGAAATGTCACTCACTGTCCTGGAGCAGGCCTGGGCAGCTGGGGCGGGGCGGTTTGAGCACTGTACCGTAGGAGTATCCCGCCTACCAGCCTGGGACCAGCCCGGCTCCCAGGATAAGCTGGGTCCCCTAGGAGAGGTAACCTGGGGGGAAGGTAGACTTCCATCATCCTCTGCCCTTGGCCAAGAACTTCACGTCCTCAACCCTTCCTAGGGGCTCTCAGATTCTCTTAACTGATCTTTAGTCCCCAACCAGAGAGGTGCATCTATCTTTCAGCTGGGGGCCTGGAGAGCAGTACTTTGCAGGGAGGGATCTAGGTTGGGATCGAAAGCGAGCTGGTGATTTTGCTCACTTCACCTCTTTTTTGCCTCCTTTAGGTCCCACCTGAGGCGTCCCTGACCGTCCCTGTCCCCCACCCCAGCCCCCATCCCGGCAATGCTAACCGCTGTCTGCGGCTCTCTGGGCAGCCAGCACTCGGACGCGCCTCACGCCTCCCCTCCGCGCCTGGACCTGCAGCCTCTCCAAACATACCAGGGGCACACGAGCCCGGAGGCCGGGGACTACCCCTCCCCGCTGCAGCCTGGAGAGCTGCAGAGCCTCCAGCTGGGCCCCGAGGTGGACTTCTCGCAGGGCTATGAGCTACCAGGGGCCTCCTCTCGAGTAACCTGCGAGGACCTGGAAAGCGACAATCCCTTGGCCCCGGGACCCTTTTCCAAGCTCCTGCAGCCGGACATGTCACACCATTACGAATCGTGGTTCCGGCCGACTCACCCAGGCACTGAGGATGGCTCGTGGTGGGACCTTCATCCGGGCACCAGCTGGATGGACCTCCCCCACACTCAGGGCGCGCTGACCTCACCTGGCCACCCGGGGGCGCTTCAGGCTGGCTTGGGGGGCTACGTTGGAGACCACCAGCTTTGTGCCCCGCCATCCCACCCACACCCGCACCACCTCCTCCCAGCCGCCGGAGGGCAGCACCTCCTGGGGCCTCCCGACGGGGCAAAGGCCTTGGAAGCTGCCGCCCCGGAGACCCAGGGGCTGGATTCCAGTCTGGATGGGGCGGCCCGGCCCAAAGGCTCCCGGCGGTCAGTGCCCCGAAGCTCAGGTCAGACCGTGTGCCGCTGCCCCAATTGCCTGGAGGCGGAGCGACTGGGGGCTCCGTGCGGGCCCGATGGGGGCAAGAAGAAGCATTTGCACAATTGCCACATCCCGGGCTGCGGGAAAGCCTACGCCAAGACGTCGCACCTAAAAGCGCACCTGCGTTGGCATAGCGGCGACCGTCCCTTCGTGTGCAACTGGCTTTTCTGCGGCAAGCGCTTCACGCGCTCCGACGAGCTGCAGCGCCACCTCCAGACCCACACCGGCACCAAGAAGTTCCCCTGTGCCGTCTGCAGCCGGGTCTTCATGCGCAGTGACCACCTGGCCAAACACATGAAAACCCACGAGGGCACCAAAGAGGAGGCTGCGGGGGCCGCCACCGGCGAGGGCAAGACCGGAGGAGCGGTGGAACCCTCCGGGGGCAAAGGCAAGCGGGAGGCCGAGGGCAGCGGCGCAGCTCCCTCCAACTGAGCCCTCTAACCCCGCTGGTTACCCTGGGGACATCAGAAGAGACCCCCCTGGCCTGATGTCCTTGGGGGGCGGCTCGAGTAAGAGGAGAAAGTTGTTATTTATTGAAAGGGAGGGAAAGTGGTGTGGGGTCAGGGAGAGGGGGCTTAGGGGTGTTTTAGTCTCAGGCTGGACAGGACGCTTTTGACTGTTTGGCTGGGCCGGGGGAGCTGCGCACGCCCCTCTGTCCGCGGTCTCCTCACTAGTTCACCCAGGTCCCCGAGCTGGGGGGACGGGATGAGGTATCCCTACCGCGGCTGGAGGGCGGAGGGGACCCGCTGGAGAAGACGTGCATCCCGGGAGCAGAGAGGAGTGGGGCGGCCCCGGGCGCTGGGGGTAGCTGTCTGGACGCGTTCTTAGCGCCTGGGAACCGGGACATAAAAGCGCCTCCGGAACCGCCCAGCGGCCCCGGTCTCTTTCATCCCCTTCACAGTGCTTCTTCCCCTAGGGTTTCCGGAGGGAGAGCCGAGACAGGGTAGTGGAGGCTGGGGGTCCCCTTTGGGGAGGGGTCTGCAGCAGGCCGGGAGGGTTGTTGCTGTAGAAATAACTCCTTTGATGCTCCTTCTTATTAATTAACCCCTCCAGACCCAGTCTGATGGAGCCATGAAGGACGAGGGGAAGGGGGCCAGAATCGAGAGCGGGTGTTGGCGGGTGGGTAAAGAAGTCCCCTTCTAAAATGAGAGGAAGCAGTTTGGTGGGGGAATGGAAGGAACGGGCCCCTTCCCTCTCAAACTCGGATTCAGTCCTTAACTCTTGGTCTTTATAAAAAATAAAGTTCAGAAGTCCACGTTCCCCATCAGTTACCCCCACCCCCATGCCAGGTGAGCTTTCAAGGCGGCCGGAAGACCCCACTTCAGAATCCATGTAGTTCCTCACCCTGGGCGCCCCGTCATTTATTTGTTCCCTGTGGGGATGGAAGGAATGGGTTACCTCAGCTATTTGGAAGTCGGTGGGGGCACCCCAGTAGAGGAGTGTCCCGGGGTCCCCCTCCGTGGACTCTGTGTCTGCCTGGCCAGCTCCTGCTCGCCCTCCCCTGCCCCTGCAGAGTGGGCGTTAAGAGGTGCCCCCCTTCCATATGAAGGAGTGGTTCTCCCACTGGGTAGGGGTCTCCTGCCTTCTGAGGGGATGTCCAGGGAGCTGTCCCTAGTCCCCTCCAGACGCTGGAACCACATCCGGATAGTGACCGTGGACCCGGGAAGTGGGCCGGGGCGAGGGCAGCTGAGGCGAGCCTGGCGCAGGGGAGGGTGCGGAGCTAGTGGGCTTTCCCGGGCTTGCAGTAGAGGCCAGATGCTCCCCCCCACCCCCCCCACCTCCCCTTTCCCTGGCCCTCTGTCCATGCAGAGCCTTATTTGAGGATTAGTTGTATATTGATTTTTAAGTTATATGCAAAGGGTATTTTATTTAATATTAGGACATGTTGTGTGTGTGTGTGTGTGTGTGTGTTTCTCTACTGAGCCTGGGGTCTCCAGTCAGGGAGACCCTCTCTTGTTCGCCCCGTCCACGGTCCTGGGGTCTAGGCCCACAGTGCCTCTCCCTCCCTGGGGGATGCTGGAACCCAGTCCGAGGACTGGGGGCTCGACGGGGTGTGAGGCTGGGGTCTGGGTGGGAGTATGTGTTTGTGTAGAAGGGAGTCCTTAAAAGGGATAAGGGGACCCTCCCTGAGAGACTCGTGGGCCTGGGGTAGTTTGAGAAGTGATGTTCTTTCTTTAGGCCGCTCTTATCCCGACCTCCTGCTAACCCCACCAGAGGCTCCTTTTCTGGCTGAGAGGTCTGGGGGCAGGAGAGGGCTGGCCGTGCCTGCAGGTTGCCTGACCAGGTGGAGAGAGGGGGAGAGAGGGAGGGCACCGTGGGTGTGAGATGCCTTTCTCCTCCACCCATCGAAACCAGCCGCCCCCTCCCTGTGCTGCCAGGACAGCTCTTCCCAGTGACCATTCTAGTGGGAACTCCCGAACGGGTGTTGGTGGGGGGGGGGCATGGATGTTCCCCCCAGGGAGGCCCCCAGCTCTAAGGTGTTGGGTGAGGGCTTCGGTTAGGTTTTCTTTCTGCTCCCCCCTTTTATAGATCTAGGTTGCTTGGCTGCCTGTCCCCTTCTAGGCAGCCCCCTAGAGGAGAAATGTAGGATTTTTTTTTTCTTTAACTGCTGTGAACCCACTTTGTTGGGGCGGGGGGAAGAGGAGAAAGAAACAGCCTGTGTTTTTTATGCCATAATAAAGTCATCAGCCACATCATTGCTTCATTTGTCTTCCAGCTCGGGTTTCCTTCTTGGTTTCCCTTTTGACTCGGTGTCCCTGGGCAGTGAAGACCGGGCCCCAGGCCACTGCAGGGTGGGGTGGGCACTTCCCTTTGATCTGCAGCCCTGAGCAGCCTCTCCCTTTGTTTGGGGCAGAGCTGAGCTCTGATGGAAGGGTCTGATCCTGTCCTGGAGGTGGCTGGTGCAGGAGGAGGGAGGAGCGCCCTCTGGGTCGATAACTCTGCCCACCATCCCTCCCTGCTCTTAACCTGTGCAGATGAGGAAGTTCCAGATGTTTCCTTCCTCCTCCACAGACAAGCCCCCTCTCCCCCCTCCCCTGCCAAGAACACTGGTTCCCCTGCCTTCCCAGAGAGGGTCAGCATCTTGGCACCCTCACCCCACCCCCATGGGGGGCGTGTGTGTGTCAATCGGTTCCTCAGGCTGCGAGTGAGGCGGGGGTGACTGACAGCGATTTCTTCACCCAGGATGATCTCTATCAGGAACAAGGCGATGAAAGGCAGCCAAGATATCTGATGGGCTCCCGCCCAGCTGGAAAGTATGAGGGAAAGGCTCCTACTGCAACTCCCAGCTAGAGACCCGCCACAGTTACACAACAGCACTGCGCACCAGTGCGCCCTCGCTGGACCCACGGGGCGCGCTCGGGTATGCAGAAATGTCCATCCGCGCACACTTTCCCAGGCTGCCCAATGCCTGGTATGCAGTTGGTGCCTAATTCATATCAAATGAACGAAGAACCTCAGCTCCAGAGCCCCAAAGCCAGGAAGGTGGATGGAGGATCAATTTTGGGCTCCAAGGGGGCAGGGTAAATTATCGTGTTCTGGCACCTTCCCACCCCACATGTTTTTAACAAAATTATTCTCTCTCCATTAGTGGGGTTCCTGCGTCCCCTACTCTAACCCTAACCCAGTTTCTCAACCAGATCTGGTGCTCCAGGTTGGCCCATCCATCACATGTTTGGGAGAGGGTGGGCCCACCAAGTCCACCTTGGGATGGGGCATCAGAAAGATGTAGGGGTCAGAGAGGAAAGCAGGCTGGTCTGGAGGGTCAAGTATTTTTTCCCCCTGCTCCTGCATTTAGAAGCCTGGGAGGAGAGGGGACAGGCACGTTTTCCCATGACCTCCCGCCCACTCCACTCCTCGGGGCGCCTCCTTTGTCTTCCTGGTTCTGGGGAACTTAGACAGACCCCAGGAGCCCCGTGAGTCCTCTGCTCCTTTTCCCCCATCGCTGCCCCCAGGGACAGGAGGGCAGCAGTGGGGCTGGCTGGGCCTGTCTGGGCAGGGCTGGGGCTGCCCCTCCTCCCCTCCCAGCTCCTCCCGCTGACCTGCATTCTTAGCGGGGGCCTTTGGTGGGGCTCTGACGCTCACTCGGCTGTTTGCCTTGACAGCAATGCTGCCTGGCTGGCCTGGCCCCCCCTGATGCAGCCCAAGGCCACCTCTGACCCCTCAGATCTGGAGCCTTTGGCAGGACGATCTCACAGGGGCTGGGAGAGAGGGAGGGAACTCAGAATATGTAGATTGACCTTCTGGGCGACCCCTCTGAGCCGCCATCTCCTCGCCTGGGAGGAGAACTCTAAGGTGGGTGAGTGAAATCAGGAATGGGCAAGTGGCAGAGGAGCAGGCAGCCCGCGGCTTTGCGGCAGGCGACTCACGCCCGTCTTCCAGCCTGTGCCTGCCCCCCAGCGGGAGGCTGGGGAAGTGCAGGAGGTGAACCGACTCTCTTCCTGGCCGCTTCGGTGCCCCTGTTCGCGCACAGCCTTGAAGTTTGCTCCCGGAATGCTATGCCCTGGCAACCTCGCAATACCCGCCCCCACCCCCACCCCACCCCGCCCACATCGCACGCGAAGCAGCCCTCACCTCCACATTAGTCCCAGGGAGCCCGAATGCTCAGCATCCTAGCAGCATAGGTTTGAAAAGAATCTTGGGAACCAAACAGTCCTGTCTTCCCACCAGGTGGATGGGATATTGGAATCAACCATGGAACTTTCAAGATACCCGGATCGATTCCCTCCCCAGCACCCCACCCAGTTATGCCCCTTGGGGCTATGTGAGAGCAGCACTTCTCAAACCTCACACCTGAGGTCTCGTTAACTCAGCTTCTGATTCAGGAGGCCTGAGGTGGGGCCCGAGAGTCTAGGATTTTCACAAGCTCGCAGATGAGGCCGATGCTGGCAGCCCGCCACCTCCCTGATAGCAGCGTCTTCAAGCATCCTGCCGTGCAGTGGGCGCTGTGTGATTGAAAACTAACCTTTCCTCGCCCCGCCCGTGGATGGGAACCGAGGATCTAGTGCAGTGTCTAGTAGCTAGTGCAGTGCCTTCCTTTTGCCACCTGGGAAACTGAGGCCTTGGCAGGGGAAGTGACCCGCCTGAAGACACCCCACGGCAGCAGATCCCAATGCCGGTCTGTAGGGTTCCAGGCACCGCTCCTCCTAACCTCCAGCCCAGCTTCTAGGTCATTCTCTTCCAGTGGCAGCCCCCTTTCTGAAAGTAAAGCCCATCTCCCTGGAGACAGCACCCTCTTGGACCTCAGCCTCGTCCACCTGGAGGCTTTTGGGAAATATCACAGAATTCAGACCCCCAGCAGCCCCGTTGGGCAGGTTTCCTCCAGCCATCACCCAGCACATCTCCCTCCCTCCAGCCTGCCTCCTGGGAAAGCCTCAGCCACCGCCTGAATTCCCATCCCAGGAGTGGCCACAAGCTCGGGTGCTGTGGCCAGGGCTCTGAGCAGCAGCCCTGATTGGCTGGCTGGAGGGCGTAGGAGAAATAGATCATCTGCAGTGTACTCTCAGTTCCCGGAGGGCTGCACAGAGCCCAGTGGTGCGAGGTGCCCTGGCTTACACATTAGCTACGGAGACGGTTTCAGAGGAAGAGGACCCTGGGAAGGAGAATATTTGAGACCAGAGTCCACCTCTGCCCCAGGGTGTGCCCCCGTTTGGCCAAGACTTCTCCCGAACTGTTCCAGCTTCACTGTGTGTTGAAGGCACCATGTCTTTGGAGTAGAAATTCCCAAGTTTTCTTTCAAAGCTATCTTCCTATGAGTTTGTGCTCTGTGGGGCAGAATCGGCCTTTTCCGGGTCGGATGGGTTTTATGTATACGTTCCCTTCTTAAAAAGTATTAATTTAAGTGTTCCCTGCACCCCTTGGCCTGACCGCTAACCCTCTCACGGATCTTATTGGGGAGGTCGGTGGGGCACCAGCGTGGGATTGTGCCTTTGGAATCCAAACCAGGCCACAAGTAGTTTTCCTAGTCTCCAGGTGCCCCAGCATCCCGAGCTCTCTAGTAAATCAGCCCCATTTTCTTTCTTCCCTTTTCACGTGGATCCTTTCCACCCCTAGCTCCTGCGCCCCACAGTGACCCTACCCGAGTTGAGCGCTGATTCGCAGCTTTTACGGGCCTGAAAGGTGCGTGGGGGTAAGGGAAGGCAGCCAGGCACGACTAGGACGCTCTCTCCCCTCCGAGAAGTGGTGCTGGCGCGCACTCTGGTGGAAGAGAGTGGAACTGCAGGCGTTCGGTTCTAGCTCCGCCCAAGGGACTAGGCCTTCCAGGTCACCTGGGAACCTCCTTCCAACAGGACAGGCCTGACCCTAAATGGAGGAACTGGCGTCCGGAACTAAGCTGGGGATCTTGCAGAAAGACGGGGTGAGGAGCATACATTATTGGGAAGCCTGGAGGGGTGGACAGAAGAGGAGCGAGGTAAAAGGGCCATTGGGCCACACCTCTCAGTGGGGCAGGGCCTTGGAGCAAGGTCTGCGCGGGCCTGCTGAAGCCTAAGCCCGGAGTTTGCAGAGAGAGTGCACTCTCCGTCGTCACTTCACGTATCCTGTGTGCGTGGGGTGCTGAGCGTCCAGAGCTCGACTACAGTGCCTTCCCTGAGTGTCTGTTTCCACGTGCTGGGAGGGGGGCTCCCCAGGGCTGTTTCCTGGCCAGGATGGTGGAGAGAGCGCATGAGGAACCCACTCACCCCCGCCCCTCCCCCAGATGACAACGCAGAGCCCTGACACCCCATGTTCCTGTGACTGCTTTGTGTCGGTGCCCCCGGCCTCGGCCATGCCCGCTGTGATCTTTGCCAAGAATTCAGACCGACCCCGGGACGAGGTGCAGGAGGTGGTGTTTGTACCAGCAGGCACTCATGCCCCCGGCAGCCGCCTGCAGGTGGGTTAGGCTTTAGGGGTCGGACGCTGGGAGGTGGCAGATGTAGGCATTCTTCTAAGACAGCGATTTTCAACCGGTGTACGTGGCACCCTGGCGAGCCGCAAGAATCTTTAAAACATGCAGTGCCTGACTATTTAGTGAGGGGCACTGACCTCTTCCCTTAGATTTCAAAAAAAAAAAAGGCAGATGGGAGTAAAAGAATATTGTACTGCAACAATTTAAATAAAATAAAAAAAATTTAAAAAATGGCAACAGCCAACACACTAGTCATCTGGTGTGAATGAATCGAAAGTATACCTATTTTTTTTTTTGTCTGATTGGCAAAACATATTATTTTTGGTGTACCACGGAATTTTAGTAATTAGTTTATGTGTGTGCCATGAGAAGAAAACGTTGAAAATCACTGGTCTAAGACCTTTCTCCTCTCTGCTCCCCACACCTGGGAAACCTCCGGGTTTGGAAAGAGCGTGAGCTTCAAGTCTACCACCTGGACTCGGCCTATTACTTAAACCTCTGCCATCCTCAGTCTCCTCATCTGTGAAATGGGAACGATAAGACCTTCCTCCAAGGGCTGCGTGGACGACTGGCTCAGTCCCAGCCCCTTGCAGGTACCTCCTCCTTTCTGAGCCGACTCTCCCTTTCTCCTCCTCTACCTGTAGTGCACCTACATTGAGGTGGAGCAGGTGTCGGAGACCCATGCTGTGATCCTAAGCCGCCCTTCTTGGCTGTGGGGGGCTGAGATGGGCGCCAACGAGCATGGTGTCTGTATCGGCAACGAGGCCGTCTGGACCAAGGAGCCAGTCGGGCAGGGGGAAGCCCTGCTGGGCATGGATCTACTCAGGTGCGGCTCCAGCCCTCACCCCCTCCCCTCCCCTCAACGCACTAGAAGTCTGGGGACTGAACACTGGCCCAAGCCTGCACTCCTCCCCCACGCCGGGTCCGCCTGGGCCTCCTCCTTCACACCCCCCTCGCCTTGGGGTCATCACCCGGAGGCTGCCTCTGACCCTCCTCTCTCCTGGCCTCATCTCCGCAGTCTGGTGAGAAGCTCTCAAATATGGCCACCTCTGGGCTGCCCCGGCCCAGAAATAGGGCAGTGGTTTTAAATTTTTCTTAAAAAAAAAAAAAAAGATTGTATTTATTTTCAAAGAGAGGGGAAGGGAGAGAGAAAGAGAGGGAGAGAAACATCGATGTGAGAGAGAAACATCAATCGGTTGCCTCTTGCATACCCGCCCCCGGGGCCCTGGCCCGCAACCCAGGCATGTGCCCCAACTGGGAATCGAACCAATGACCTTTCAGTTTGCAGGCTGGTGTTCAATCCACTGAGCCACACCAGCTAGGGCTTACATTTCTTTTCAATAGAGGTAAAATATTTTTCAAATGGAATCTCATGTGGAGTCCCAATTCACAAAACCAATAAGAGGGGAACAGCTCCGCCCGAGGAGAGGCTGTGGGCTCAGGGCACTCCTCCCTCTGAGACTGTTTCAGGCCTTTCCAGGGAGCCCTCAGGGACAGCTTGAAAACCACGGGTGTGCTTGTGCAGTGTTCCCAGATTTTTCTACGGGACTCGGGCCTGACACCCAACCTCCCTGGGTCTCCGCTGTCCCCTGGAGCTTCTGCCACCAGCCACTGACACCCCACCGCCCTTCTGCCCCCGGGCCTCTTTTTGTGCCAGGCTGGCTTTAGAACGGAGCCGCTCAGCCCAGGAGGCCTTGCGTGTGATCACAGGCTTGCTGGAGCGCCACGGGCAGGGCGGCAGCTGCCGGGAGGACCCCACACCGTTCTGCTACCACAATACCTTCCTGCTGGCTGACCGGACCGAGGCGTGGGTGCTGGAGACGGCGGGGAGGCTGTGGGCTGCGCAGAGGATCCAGGGTGAGGCGCCCGGCACTGGGGCCTGCCTCCCGGATGTGTCCGCTTTTGCCAGCCGTGGAGAAGGATGGGGAACGTGGTGGTGGCAGGGAAGGGCCAGTCCAGGCACAAACCTCTCGGGTGGTGGGGCCCTCCAGAGAAATGGCAAATGAACCCACTGGGGAACTTATCCTCCCCGCTTCACTTGGTTAAGTCCTCTTGTGCTTCAGCCTGCTGCTTCCTCCGAGGAGCCTTCCTGGACTCCCTGATGGTCAGGTGTCCCCCTTATTTGCCAGCAGGCGCCCCTTCATCACACTCACCACAGATGGCAAGCTCACACTTACTTCTGTGATAGTTCTGTCCGTCTCCCTCTTCACGAGAGTAGGTCTCTCCTCTTCACCATTGTGCTCTCAGCACCTAGCCAAGCACCTGGCATGCAACAGGTGCTTAATGGCGGATGAGCAGCCCCCCTGTCCTCCACAGAGGGAGCCCGCAACATCTCCAACCAGCTGAGCATTGACACAGACATCTCAGCCGAACACCCAGAGCTCCGGTCCCACGCCCGGGCCCAGGGCTGGTGGGATGGCCAGGGCACCTTCGACTTTGCCCAGGTTTTCTCCCTGACCCAGCAGCCGGTGCGCATGGAAGCTGCCAAGGCTCGCTTCCGGGCCGGGCAGGAGCTGCTGCAGCAACAGCAAGGTCAGAGAGCGAGGGGGCAGGTGGCAGCATGGGCCAGCAGGGCCACAGGGCCGCCAGCCTTTCTGCCCTGGGGGCGCCCTCACCCTATTCTACTCAGCAGGGAGCATCACAGCAGAGGTGATGATGGACATTCTCAGGAACAAGGAGAGTGGCATCTGTATGGACTCTGGAGGCTTCCGCACCACGGCCAGCATGGTGTCCATCCTGCCCCGGGACCCCACTCAGCCCTGCGTCCACTTCCTCACTGCCACCCCAGACCCGTCCAGGTGCGAGGAGAGGCTGGGGGAGGGGCAGAGTGTGCCGGCCGGGGGTGGGGGGGGAGTGAGAGATGCGATGGCCCTCCACCCTTCCATCTGTGTCCTCTTAGGTCCGTGTTCAAGCCTTTCATCTTCGGGGCAGGGGCGGCCCAGGCCCCCCAGGTGTTGTCCCCCACTTTCGGAGCACAGGACCCCGTTCGGACTGTGCCCCGATTCCAGACTCAGGTGGATCGCCGGCACACTCTCTACCGTGGACACCAGAAGGCCCTGGGGCTGATGGAGAGGGAGCAGGTAACCCCAGGCCACAGGAGCTACCCCCGAGGAATGCCTCGTCTCGCCCACACTCACCTGGGTTCTGGGAACATGAGGGACCCTGCAAGCGGAGAGAGTCCCGGGCTGGGGAGAGGGGTCTCGCCCTTCAGAGCCAGCTGCCCAGGAGAAGGTCTGTCCCTTCTCCTGCAGTGCAGACATGTTCCCCTTACTCGGGAGGGAAGCCTGCCCTGGGGACTCATCTCTGCCTTTCCCCGGCAGGATTGGGGCCAGCAGCTGCGGCAGAGGCAGCGGGATCTGGAACGGGAAGGCCTGGAGGCTGCCAGCCGGCTGCTGGCGGGGGAGGGGGCCCCGCCCTCCCAGGAGCTGGGTGGCCTCTTCCAGGCGTTCGTGGAGAGGGAGAGCCAGGCGTACGCCTGAGGCTGGGAGGAGCCCAGCGTGAGGTTCAGGGGCTGGGCTGGGCACCGGACCCCTGGGGTAATGGATCCGATCCCTTTACACCCCTTGTTCCGAGTGGCCGGGTTGGCCTCGGTTTAATAAACGTGTCTTGTTTCTTATGTGTTTTTCTCATTGCTTCCCTTGAGGTGCCCCCAGTGACGGGAAAGACACTTTCAGGGCCTGGAGACACTTTATTGGGAGGGCTCTGAGGAGGGGGGAGGCCCCCTCCGCTCTTATTCTTGCCCTGCCCTCGTTCCTGCGGCTTCCCTGACAGGGGCGGCCTGCACTTCACTTCTTGATCGCTCTGGCCGTAGTTTTCGTGGTGCTGGGGGCCGCAGCCACTGCGGCCTTGGGAGCTGCAGCCTCCCTGACCCCCCTCCTTGCCTGGACGGTGCTTTGGCGGCCCCTGGAAACCAGAGGGCATGGTTTCTTGGTGGCAGAGGAAGCTTGTGGCAAGGAAGTGGACTCATGGGGTGTCTCCTCGCCCTGCCTGGGAGTGGCAGAAGGGCTGCTGTCCCCAGCCATGGACCTCCCGGGCAGGGCGGGGAGCTCGGTGAGGACGGGCTGTGTCTCCATCCTCAGACGGTGCTCCGCCAGGGCCTCCTGCTGTCTGCGCTCCTTGTGCCTGCTCAGATCCTGCTCCAGCTCCTTGAGGAAGCCTGTGGGGCCGCGGTGGGTGCTGGGTGGAGCCTGGGCTCAGCAGGGGGCGGGGGGGGGCAGGCCCGGGGCTGAGGGTGAAGGTCTCTGGCTGACCCGAGCGGACTGCCGCCGGTAACAGGGAGGAGCCTGAGGCTGGGTGGGGAGGGCGGGTCACCTGTGTGCCTTGGCTGACACCTGGCCCTGGCTGTATTACTCTCCTCTGGCCCAGATGCTGACCTGGGCTTGGGGCCACTTCCCAGACATCACTGCCGCCTCAGCTTCCCCTGGGATCCCACAGGGCAGGGGGCGCGCTCCGGGGAGGCTGCAAGCCTTGCGGCGCAGGCTCACCTTTCTCTGAGCGGAATGGGCCGTACAGCTCCGGGAACTCCTCCTCCTCGGCTCCGTCCTCCTCACCCGAGTCCCAGCGCTCCAGCACCGGCTGCCTGTCCAGGTCCAGGAGCAGCGGCAGGGCCCCTGTCACCCGCCCCCTGCAGGGCAGGAAGCAGAGGCTACGCTGGAGGGCGCCCCTGGGTGCGGAGCCTGGGAGGTTGCACACACGGCAACAGTGCCCACGCCGCCCCGTGGGATGGTGGCTCACGAGCGGGAGACCCCGCAGGGCTAAAGGCTGGCTCCAGGGGTGGAGTTATGGGAAGTGAAAGGGAAGAGGGGGCCCGACTTGAGCTGGGGGTGGGGGGAGGTACCATGGGCCGGGACTCCGGGTCTGCAGGCTGAGAGGGCACCCACGTGGAGTTAGGAGGAGGGGCTCAGACATCACCTCTTTCTTCCCACCTTTGTTTCATCCTCACCTATAGCCTTCCTGTTTGGTGCAGCTGTTTCCAGTCAGGTTAAGGATGAGAAGGCTCTGGGGGAATTCATCTGCTCGAACCAAAGTAGGGGAATGAGCTTCTCACACCCACCTTCCAGCCCGAAGCCACTGCCTCTCTGCACCCCCGGCCCCCCTGGAGGGTGTCCTGTCAGTGGGGACACAGGGAGGTGGGGGCAGGGAGGAGGGAGAGCCCGCCTGGGACTTGTTCTATGAGCCAGGGTGAGAGCGTTCCTACCCAGCTTCAGTTTTTCTATCAGATTCTCGGAAAGGTCCAGAAACTGCAGGTGTGGGAGGTCACGGAGGTTTTCCACCTGCCTGATCTGGTTTCCTGCCAGAGACAGGAAGCTGTAGGGGAAGGGAGGGTACAGAGAAAGAGCCGAATCAGAACACCTGCGGGAAAGCAAGAGGGCATCAGGCACTCGGGCCCCTGGCTAAGCAGGTGGAAGTGGGGACACGTGGCCTTCTGGGGTGAAGATAGCAGCATGAGGCTTGCGGGATCCCCAGCTGACAAGAAGCTGGGCTTGGAGAGGTTTCAACGGGTTCTTTGGGGTGCTACCCCCTTTTCTCCCCTCCCCACCCCTGCCTGAGCCCTGGAACCACATACCGCAAGGAGGGGACACAGGCCAGGTTCTCAATTCGCTGGATCTTATTCTGCAGGAAGAAACCAAGGTGGCAAACCAACCCGAGGGCAGCTGGGTGGGGGGCCCTTTAAAGGGACAAAGTCCCAAGACCAGGTCTACTCTTGCAACCGGAGGTCTGGCACTTGGGAATGATGACCCCGTCACTGACCTGTTTTCACAACCTTGGGATGATCTGCTTTCTGCAGACGGATGGTTAAGGGTTTAAACCTGGGGCTGGCTAAGCTGCTCACCCCACAACCTAAGAGTGACCTGGAATCAGTGAAGCAAGCCAAGGTACTACAGGAAAATGGGAAAGGCCTTGGTGGGGGCCTGCATACACGGAGGAAACAATGAACACATCTTACTTTGATTTGTCATGTTTCAGCGGGGCAGGGCTCAAGGAGCTTGAATATTCAATCTGGGGGAGTCTGGAGGTCGACCACCCACCCACCCACCACCACTGACAGCCTTCAGGTTCCTGAAGGACACAGGGATCTTCCAGTTCCCTCTTCCTCTTTTTTTAAAAACAGGAAAAGAGCTTGAGCTATATAACATGAGAGGTTTCAGGGAGACACCAAGAAGCACTAGACAAAGAGAAGCGTCTGACAAACAAACAAAACAGTGATTCAAGAACATGCTGAGGATCTGTTTCGGAGGATCGGTCTTCCAATTCGGGAGAATTCCCAGTTCACCTGGGAATGGCTTCGACGCAGGGAATGGAACGGGCCAGATGATCTGGTCGGCTCCTCTCCGATTGCACAGACCTGGCCACAGGGAGCAAGTGGGGAGGAACGGGAGGGGACAAGAAGTTACCGCTTGTAGATAGAGGCTGTGAAGATTCCGGAGGCCCTCTAGATTTGAGATAGTGGTGATCCCCTCCCGGTCCAGGCGGACAGTCTGTAGTTCAGCAATAGTGTGAAACCTGGGAGAATGGTCAGGAAGGTGGTGTCACAGAGCGCCTCTTCCGTGCTCTCAGCAGGGATGGCGGGAAGGAGGGAGGGAGGAAAGGGTTTAAGGAGGAGTGGACGGCCAATTGACTTTGATCAGGTATCAGGAACACCTTCTTGACTTATGAGGTGGTGTCCAGGTCCTGAAACCAGGCTGACGTGGAGACCTGGATCTCTGTCGGCAGCACTGGGAGGGATCAGAGGGAGAGAGGAGTCAGGGCCCTTGAACTGCAGCAGCAGCGTATAGTTCCCGGAGAGACTCAGAGGCAAAGGAAGACTTCCTTGAGTCAGCTTGGATGGTGGAGGCAGGAGCTGGGACAGCGATGAGGCAACCTCTGCAGATCGATCCTCCCTCACCACCCTTTTGAGTGGTCCATGGAGGGAAAATCACTTGTTCCATCCACTCATTTATTAATTCCACAACATATACTGAGTGCCCACTAGAGATACACGAGAGAGTCCTTGCCCACCACTATTAGGGATGGAGGCCAAACATCTGCGACAAATGGATGACAGCCAAGTGCAAGGGACTAAGATCACATGGACTGCGCACTGAGTCCAGAGTAGGGAAATCAGGAAATGCTTCCTGGAGGAAGTGACATATGAATAGGAGTTAGCCAGGAATGTGAGAGGGGTATGAGGAGAAAGTATCTGAAACAAAAGGAACAGTATGTACTTATTCAGCCTTTCTCAAACTTTAATGTGCCCACAAATCCCCTGCGGGTCTGGTTAAAATACAGATGCTGATTTGGTGAGCCCGAGATTCTTCATTTCTAACAAGCTCCCAGGGGGTGCTGCTGCTGCTGCCCCGCCCCCACCAGCACTAAGTACTCTAGTGAGGTACTAAGGTGTGAGGGCATGTGGTCGTAAGAGGAGTTGCACACTTGTGGAGAGGGGCAAGCAGGAAGGCTGAATGGGCAGCAGAGGTCATTTTGGAACGTTATGTCTGGGAGTGCCTAATCAGATCTGTCATTTAAAGGGGTCACTTTGAAACAGTGCAGGGGGCCTGGACTGGGGTCAGGGAGACTAATTACGAGTTTGTTGCGAGGCGATGACATCTTTGTCTAGGGCAGTTGAGTGGGCACGGTGGCAAAGAAATGGAATAATTTTTAAGGACGGAAAATCAATTGGGCATTAGCACTGATCGAATGTGTGGAGTAACCGGGTCAAAGATCAGTTCACAAATCAGTGTAGCTCAGGGGACTGGTCATCCCAGGTGTTTCGATCTTCCAGCACCCTCATCTCTGCCGCACACTCACATCCTTTCGGACAGATCCTCATCCTCAGGGAAGGTCAAGTTCCGTTTGATGATAAGGGCTTCAGTAATGCACACACCCCCTTCCTCTGGACTCTGGGCAAGATTAGCTGTGAAGAGATGGGCTCAATCATTACAGGCCTGATCGTACCGTTATCCAACTGTTCCACCTACCATCCCATCTCCCGGCTCACCTGCGTGCATGCTGTAAAGGCTCCTGGCCCGGAGCGGGATTGGAACGAAGAGCAGACCTGCTTGGACAGCTCCTGGGGATGGCGGGACCCAGAATGGTATGAAAAGAGAGAAGCTCAGGAACTTGGGGGACAAGGGAAAGGAGTTGATTCAGAGCAAATTATAGAAGTGGGGTAAAAGACCAAAGTAAATCGAAGTGGAAAGTCTGTAGTTTGAGGGTAGTGGACGAACTTCGCTGGCCGCAAACTGGGGGAAGGCGGTGCTTGCAGAAGCCGAGAGCGGTTCAAGCGGTTTAGCGTCGTTGCTAGGTGACCGACGCCCAACCCGGCGAAAAGGAGCGCGGGCTCACGGCGCATGCGGATTACCGTTCCAGTAGAGGGGGGCGGGGCGGGATCCGCCCGCTGCTTCCGGCCTTAGGTTTCCCACAATCCTTAGCTCTTTCCGTTTCGCTCGGCTCCCGTCCGTCCTGCCGGTGGCAATGGCTGTGGCTGTGGCTGGGGTTCTGCGAGGCGGTCTCCCGCCCCAGGCGGGTAAGGGGCGGCCCAGGTCCTCATGGACCTCACCGGTTACGACCGGTGCTCTCTGATCCTCGTCTCCCCTTCTCTGCTACTGGTCCTCTCCCGTAATCTCTAACCCCAGACAGCTCCCGGTGACCCGCCTCCCCAGCTAGATCGCTGGCCTCCTTCCCCAATCTAATTCCCTGAGACTCCACACTCTAGTAATAATCGCAGCACAGCAGCAGCGTCGACCATAACCACAGTGTTTATTGTCTACGCCCCAGTCCCCCTGCCTTCTTTGGGTTTCTGTAACCCACCACCAAGGTTTTGCTCGCCTCCGGTCTACTTTGCTTAGACCACTCCCGCCCCCACCTTGGCACTGTGTCTCCTTAAGGTCTCAGCCTAAACGTCACCTACTTAGGCCTGCCCTTGCCACCCTCTGCAAAGGTGGTTTCCCCTGTTAAATTTGTAACTTGCACCCTGCTTATTAGCCCATCACAGTCTGTAATGGTCCATCCGTTTGTCTCTATTAGACTTTAAACTCCGTAAGGGCAGAACCATGTTGATAATGCCTAACATTATTAGGCATGTAGTAGGTATTTGTGTAATGAATGATTTTGAGCACACAGTATAGGCCAGGTACAGTGATACATGCTTTACATGTACTATCTCATGTAGCTTTAAAGCACCCTATGAAGAAAGCATTCTCATTTCCTCTGCACAGATGAAGACACTCAAGTTCAGACCCGTCAAGAGACTGGTCATGGTCAAAGCCAAGAAAGACTAAAATGTGGTTCCATCTGACCCAGAGCCTGTGTTCCTAAGTTAGGAATTGTGGCCCCTAGGCTATGAAACATCTCACCCCAAAAACTCTTCATGCTCTCTAACCATTACAGCCAACTTCTAGCTGAACCTTTCCCTGCAATTCCACCCTAGTCTTGGGAAGGGTAGGAAGTGGGAAGCTGTTGTCTTCATTCTTTTGTTGAGGATGAAGGGGTCACTTTGCTCCCAGGTGATGCTGCAAACGAGATGAGCGAGGAACGGGAGACTTGTTTGGGGAAGCTCTAAGGGCGCCCCCTTCAGATCATGGGAGAAGGCTTCACAGCAGCTCTTAGGGCAGCGGTTTTCAAACTTCCGCATCAGCACCACGGGGGCCGACGAGGGGGCTCATTCAAACAGTGGGGCTCCGCCCCAGAGCTTCCCAGTCAGCAGGTCTAGGATAGCACCTAAGAACTGGCATTTTTAAGAAGTTCCCTGGTGCTGCTTACAGTTGGGGGTGGGGGCACACTTTGAGCACTGCTGGTTCAGACAAGGGGTTGGGAAATTATGGCAGGACTTGTCACCATGTTTTATAAATAAAACTTTATTGGGACTCAGCCACGTTTAGGATTTGTGATTGCTTTCATGATACAATGGCAGACTTGAGCAGTAGTGACAGACTGTTTGGCTCTTAACATCTTTATTACTTGACCACTTAAGAGTTTATTCTCCCTCTCCCGCCTTTGTTAGCGTGTTCAAAACACTTTCTCTTTGGTTCTTATCCCCTTTCTCCATCTCTGCGACTAAAGGAATGCTGGAGAAATGGGGGCCTCAAAGGGTCAAGTAGCTAAGGTCAGCCATTAGAAGCGGAGGCTTGGGGACTCGGGGTTTCCAGCAGGGAGTTCTTCATCCCACTCTTGCACTGAATCTAGCTCTGTGGGCCGTGGTTGTCTCTGCCCAGGGGGTGGGCTTTTTCTCCATCTGGGGCAAACCAAGGCATCCAAGAGGCTGCCTCTCACCGCATTGCCATGTCCCCTCCCAGGCCGGCTGCCCACCCTCCAGATCGTCCGCTGTGGTTCCAAGGCTGTTACCCGCCATCGTCGTGTGATGCACTTTGAGCGGCAGAAACTGATGGCCGTGACTGAGTATATCCCCCCCAAACCTGCTGTCAACCCTAGGTGCCTGGCACCTCCCCCAAAGCCTTTGCAGGAGGTAAGAGGGCAGCTCAGCATGTTACTTGGTGGTGGTGTGCTGATGAGGCAGCCTTGTATCTGTGGCCGCAGTGAAGTAAGATTCCAGAACACAGTCATCCACAGCACTAGTTCCTCGCTTTGACCCCGTGGCCCAGATACTTGGATAATTTTTATCTATTGATTTTAAGAGAGGAAGGGAGAGAGAGAAAGAGAGAAACATCAGTTTGTTGTTGCGCTTGTTTACACAGTCACTGGCTGATTCTCGTATGTTCCCTGACTGGGGGTGACACCTGCAGCCTTGGTGCATTGGGGTGACGCTCTCACCAGCTGAGCTGCCCGGCCAGGGCTGGTCCAGGTACTTTAAAATGAAACCTGCACTTGATTTGGCATTGGCTTTTTGGGCTCTGTGGATTGGACGGGCCTCCAGAATTTTCTGTATTCTTAGCTTGTTTCCAAAAATCTGTGTGGGGAAGCTACCTCAGTGTAGGACAGAGTATCTCTGTCCCACCTCGAAGGACTCGAAGCTTCCATGTTTTCCCGAAGCAGTGAGAGACATTCTGTTCTAAAAAGAACAGAAAGGCCAGGGCCGAGTTCGTGACTCTGCGGTGGCTCCTGCAGTTGTGGTATCTAATAACTTCTGGTTTCCAGTCGGCCACTGCCGCTCACGGACACTGCTGCCGGAGGCTGGGGTGCAGGGCGGTGAGCGGCAACTGAAGCTTGTGCCATTTAAGGCCAGACGTCGGACACTAATGCAAGAGGCGGTCAGAGCCATCTGGCAGAGCTCCCTCAGGCGCTAATGGTCGGCCCGAGCCCGTCCACCCGGGTTTCCTCCCCACAGACGCAAAGAGCTCTCTGAAAGGAGCCCTGCGGAGTCCTTGGCAAGTCCCCTTCCGGGGCCTGGAGCCCTTCCAGCGGGCTTCCGCTTTTGCCCGAACTGACTGACAGGAGAGCTGATGGATAGACCCCAGTCCAGACGGCAGTGGGGCTGCTGAACGGAGTGTTCCCACCCACCTTGCTCCCTGCAGGCCAGTGGCCCCTGCTGCCTCGTAACCTCGAAAGAGCCTGGAACAGCCCCGTGCGCCGGGCGGTCGGGGGCCCTGTTCTCCGTCCGCCCGTCCCGTGCGGCAGCTCCTAACCTGCTTGCCTGCCGAGCGCTGGGAGTGAGGCTGGTGTGCCTGAGGGCCCGGGTTCTTCGCTGAATTTAATTTTAATTTAATTAACTTAAATATAAATCCATGCGTGGCTAGTGGCTACTGCATCCCACAGGGCAGACCGAGACTCCAGATTCAGCACACTAGGGTATCTCCCCTTATTTTACCTTGTTTGTGTTCGTGTTTTCATGGAATTCGGCAGAAAGCATCACTGTTTTTAGGTATTCTACTGTTCAGATAAATTTCAGAATTATTGCTGCGGTAAAAAAATCTCTCACAGAGCGTTTATGGGGTCTGCATATATTCTCGGCTTCACAAGTTTGCAACTTCGTGAAACACTGTCTTGTCCTGTGAAAATGCCTCTATTTTGAATTAACGCTGCAAAAGAGTTATCCTGTGTTTATAATTGGTGAAGTAATTCAACATGGGCACAGTATTAGAGGGGTAACCGAAGTGACTTTGACAACATTACTGTCAAATGATGGTGACTGGGTCCGACTGATCACCGGGTCGCAGGGACTCAGTGTCCTGGGGTTTGCAGAGCGGCGCTCTGGTGGCTGAGAGCATCCTGAGAATGACAGGACGGAGGGGAGAAGAGACAGGTCTCTCAGCGTCGGGGGCGACTCTGCTGCCAGCGCCCTGGCCTTCCCCACATCTGGGCGTCACTGGGAGCCTTGGGGGAAGCGTCCCGGAGGGAGAAGCGTCCTGGAGGGAGTAGCGGTAGCTGACATCCCCTGGGCCCTCCCTTCCCGACCGCAGGAGACAGGCCTCCTGCGGCTCCTGCGCCGGGAGGTAGCCGCGGTTTTCCGAGACAACCGGATGATCGCCATCTGTCAGAACGTGGCTCTGAGTGCGGAGGACAAGCTGCTCATGCGACACCGGCTGCGGAAACACAATATTTTGATGAAGGTCTTCCCTAACCAGGTGGGGAGCCACCCTTGGCATGGGCCATGCTCAGGTCCCCTATCCCCGCCATCTTCAGGCCCCAGCGTCTCTCCTCGGAGAGGGCACTTCTGACTGCCCCCCCCCCGGCCCCCGCAGCGCTCTAGTCTGGTGCTGAGGCTGCTGCTCGGGGCTGCCGACCCTCTGGCTGCCCCCTCCGCCTCAGGCAGCCCGGGACCGGGCGGGCGGCTCTTTCTGCCACTGGTCCACAGTCAGCCCTTCTCCCCTGCCCTTCCAGGTGCTGAAGCCCTTCCTGGAGGCTTCCAAGTACCAGAACCTGCTGCCCCTCTTCGTGGGGCACACCATGCTGCTGGTCAGCGAGGAGCCCAAAGTCAAGGAGATGGTGCGGATCTTGAGGGGCGTGCCTTTCCTGCCGCTGCTGGGTGAGCCGGCTCCCCCGCCTGCTGGGGGAGGGGAGGGGGGGAGCGGGTGCCCCGGCAGCCCGGCGCTATCTGCCTGGCGTGAGCGGGGAAACCGTGGACACCCATGGAGAGGACACCCCCTCACAGACAGTTAGTTCATAGAGGGCCGCCTGTGTCTTCTAGCGCCTGTGCTGGCCACTGCCGGCATCGCTTCTGCGCCGGGGAAGGCTAGGGAAGGCAGAGAGGCCCCTCCCTCGGGAGGGGGTTCAGACACCTCGAGTCCAGCGGCGGGGTGGTAGGTGCTGAAACCCATCCAGACAAAGATACTTAAAACGATAGCCCAGGTCAAGGGCGCTGAGGAACGGGCAGCAGCGGGTCCCTGACTCGCCTGATACTGAGAATTCCCGGAGGTACCGTTGCTGTGTGGAATACAAAACCAACAGGTCTCGGTGGGAAGAGGCAGGCATCTTTGTTCATAACCCTCCCTCCCCCCGACCCATCACACACAGACACAAACACCTACGCCATAGTTCCAGAAAGTTTCGGGAACAGGGACCTAGTGGGGGCCGGGCCAGGTGGATGATATGTGTAAGGATTTTCTGGAGAAGAGTCAGGGAGGGGGCGGGAATCAGTCCCAAAGTGGGAGTGGGGTGGGGCACCAGAGGGAACCCAATGGGGGAGGGCTGGGAGGTGGAGAAGGGTAATGGGGAGCGATTCCTAAGGTCGGAATGTTGTTTTTGGAAAATAAAGGCATTTTGGTGGCATCCACCTGACCCCGTGTCCTTCCAGGTGGCTGCGTGGACGACACCATCCTCAGCAGGCAGGGCTTCATCAACTACTCCAAGCTCCCCAGCCTGGCGCTGGTGCAGGGGGAGCTGGTGGGAGGGCTCACCCTGCTCGTGGCCCAGACCCACTCCTTGCTCCAGCACCAGCCCCTCCAGCTGACCGCGCTGTTGGATCAGTATGTCAGACAGCAGCGCGAGGGGGCCCCGGGCACGCCAGCCGGTGGGCCGCCCGGCCCTCCCAGCGCTGTTGCGGACCCGTAGCCAGCCTGTTGTGCCCAGCCTGCCCGTGAATGCGCCCTGCCCCGCGGGCTGTGCTGTCCTCCCGGAGACGTGGAAGAGCTTGGGGTGGCGAGTGGCACGTCCCCCCGACTTCTGCTGCCAGTGACCTCCTCGGATGAAGAAGGATTTCATTTCAGAATGGAGACTTTTAATCACCGTGTTTGTTCTTAGTTTTCCCAACTTGGGACCTGACGGGAGCAGAGTCTCAGCTCTCCAGGTTCAAGGCAGAGAACAGAACAGATGGGGACAGTGCCCTCTGCCGCGTGGTCACTGTCCCTTGCACACGTCTCCCAGCCTGTCCCCTCCTTGTCAGAATAGCTCTACTGAGCAGTTGTGCTGGGAATGGCTTCTGCAGAGAGCCTGCCATGCCGGAGTGTGTGCTGACCACGTTCTAGGTGTTAGTTCTTCTGTTTCCCGGGCAGAGAAGTTAAAGAGCCCGCCCAAGGTCACGTGGTTGGTACGTGGCAGACCAGGGACTTGAACCAGGCTCTCTCTGTTCTGAAGACTGTGCTCTGGATTTCGACACTAGATCTTCCTCATTAAAGTCCCAGTTGGGCTTGGATGTTAATTCTCCACCCTTTGGGTGTGCCATGTGGAAAAGTTGAGAACGCTGCTTTGTGATTAAAAACTGCATTTTACTTGGTCTGTTTTGCTGTTTACAAGCTTAGCCTCCTCGTAGACCTGTCCTCAGGGTCATCTCAGACTCTTACTTCTACTTGGAAAATTCTTCTCCTTCCCATGTCCAAGTCTATTACCCCCCTGTCCCTACTCCTGCAAACGGGGTCTCTTACCTGCTGTCATTTCGAAGGCAGCTCCCAGCTTTGCCCAGCAGCCAGCGTGTCCCAGGTGGTTCTGAGCAGAGGAGCTGGGGGAAAACCAGAATTCTGTAGACACAAGGGGGTTTGGGAGCTTTCCAGTAGAAGGTCTCATCCAAGTCTTGGGGAACAAAAGTTCCTAATGAAGGAGCGAGGATGTTCAACTAGAAGCCCACCCTTGTCCTTGGAGCATGCGCTGGGGGTGATGTGGGGAGAGGGGCTGTGGAGCACCGGCTGGCCTTGGAGCCGTGCCCCGGCTTCCCCAGTCCGGGACAGGCGCACCCCGGCAGTGGCGATCGGCGGCAGCTTTTTGGCGGCCTGGTCCTGCACCAGCTGCCCACGGTGCCCAGCTCTGGGCCGGGTACCCAGGGACAGTCAATCAATGTGAAATGAATTAAAAGGCCCTGGAGGCTCCTGGATGCCAGAGCCGGTCTGGCCGTGCTGCGCAGTGCTGTCCCTGGTTCCCAGACCGCCAGGTGCTAACAGCGCCCTCCTGGGGTGGCTGGAGCAGTGTAGAGGGTCCGGACGGTGGAGAGCAGAGGTGAGGAAGACCCTTAAGGGTCAGCCAAGGCCATGTGGGCACGACATGGATGGGGGAGGTGCCCTCAAACCATTCCTGGGTCAAAGACGAGACCCACATTGCATCCTTTCCCTGTTGATGTGGCCTAAGGCTTCACCATTATGAACCTCCTTTCCAGAAAGGCTTCGCTGCGCTTACAGCTGTCAGCCTGCCTCCCATTCGTTTCCACAAGTTTCAGACCTCTCTCAAGAGCTGGTTTTTAAGTAGAAGGAGCAAGCGAACACAGCGCTCCAGCAGAAGGGCAGGGGTGCTCAGGAAGGGGGTGCACAGGCCGGCTCCCCCCCCTCACCCCGCTCTCTCCCAGCCAGCTGGTTCCTGCCCCAGACCCCTTCTTGGTGCAGGCCTGGGTGTGCCTTATCACATAGGTGCTTTCGGTCCCCCCACCCCATGGGACTGGGACAGGCTCTTGGGGGGGCCACCTGCTGGCCCTTGTGTGCCTTGAATGCCCTGCTGACTGTGCTCTTGGCACCACCAAAAAGGGGCATCCATCCCTTCCCATCAACCTGATACCTTTGCTGGCTCCAAATTTTGCAATCTATTTTCAGATGTAAAACGAGAGGCAGGAGTTAATAAGGAAATGGACTTGGGTACTAACTGGGGTCAAGGCCACACTAGTCTAAGTAAAACCCTTTATCACCACTGGCTTGAAGCCAGCAACTCCCCAGTCCTCTGTGATCCCTCTGGAACTGTGCCCGGCGGGGACCCTGCCCCTAGTCCCAGGCCCCCTCAGCACTGGGGAGTCCCTGGGCCCTGAGTCCTCCGGGGAGCAGGGGGGCAGAGCTGAGCGGCTGCCCGGAGCTTGGCGGGAGGAGGAGCGGGGGAGGGGAAGGTGGGGAGATCCGGCTGGAGGGGAGGCTCCGCTGTCTCCTTCCTTCCTGGTTCCTGCAGCAGCTGCTGCCGCTGCTCAGCTCGCTGAGGAGGGAGCGGGAGCGGGCGACTCCGAGACGGTGACTCAGAGGCAGAGCGGCCGTGTGGGTCAAGGAGCACGGGTGTCCATGGACCCTGGGGTAAGGGGCCACGCTGGCATTTCCCCAGAGGGCTTCCTGCCACCTGAAGCTGTTGGGTCTGCTCCTCCGGAGAAGGGGGCGGGAGTGGAGGTGGAGACAGGGCACCCACCTGGCTCATCTCGACCCCACACCCTCTAGTGACAGAGCCTCCCCCTCCAGCTGCAAGCGGGGAGAGGCCAGGACCCCACAGGGCCAGGAAAAGGGCACAGGCATACCCAAACACCGGGAGAGATGGGGAACTTTCAATGGCTGAATGCAGGAGTTTCCCCCACTGGGTCAGCCTCTGGTGGCATGGGCCCCTCTCTCCCCCACACCCCCCCAACCCCTGCTCCACGGTGTCCCCCGCTCCCTCCAGCCTCAACTCTTCAGGTGCTTGTGGGCTCCGTCAGAAGACCTGAGGCTGTTTCCCCAGCCTCAGGCCAACCTTGCCCCTCCAGTCCCCTCCCTCCTCACCCCCCCCACCCCACCCCAACACACACAGCCTCATGCATTATTGATCTCCTGGTGGAGCCAGGATGGCCAGGGCCAGTGCCAAGGGCGCCTGTGGGCACTGCTGCGGGACCCGTGCAGACCTGGGCATGCTCTCGGCCACCTCTCCTCCTCCCCGCCTTCTCGGTTGTCTCCTTGGGCTCAGTCCCCTGCTCTGCCTGGGTGGCCAGTGCTGCTCAGGAGCCCCAAGGACTGGGATGATAAAAAAGGGAACGGGGAGGCTGAGGGTCCAAGGTGGGCATCCTAGGGGGCTGTTGGATGGGAGGAGGCCCAGGGAGCAACGGGGGCTGTCTCGGGCCTCAGTTTCCCCGTGTAGGAGATGGGAGCCCGAGAACTAGAGGATACGGGGACCCATTGGTGGGGAGTGGGGATGGAGGGGTTGGGGGGTTCTGCAGGGGGTTCATGGCGTGGCAGCAGAGTCTCCAAGCCAAGGGTGGGGGTGCAGGGTCTCGAAGGACGAGGAGCTGGACTGAGGTCTTGCTTGCCTAGTCGCTGAGTTCCTCTGGCCCTTTTTCAGAGCCTCTTCCTTCACTCGCCTGCCTCCTCCCCTCTGATCGCCCCTGGGGATCCCTGCAGAGAAAACACCGAGTGTTTCCTGGAGCCCAGGAATGTGTGCTCAGGGTGGGGCTGGGTGGACTTCTGGTTCTCTCTCTGTCAACGAGCACACAGTGGCTGCGGGAGGGTGGAGGCAGGGAGGCCCCACCAAGGCGGGGCAGGGCCAGGCTCGGGAGAGGCGGGACAGGTGAGCGGAAGATGTGTTAATGAACTCTCATCTCAGACGTTGGAGAGAGATTGGAGGTGGGGAGGTGACAGGGGGGGTCTGTGCTGATGAAGCCTCTCTCCTGCTTCAAGGACCCCCTCAGGACAAGGCGACCTCCTTCCCCTGCCACCCTGCTCTGAGTCCTCAGCAGGGAGGGGCCGCTCCCTTCTCCATGGACTTCCAAGAGAGGGGCCCTCCCTCGCTGTCCGAGAGCACTCCGTCTGCCAAGCCCGGCAGTGCTCAGCAGGTCTGCGGGTGGGACGCCGGCGGTGGGTGGGCTCCATTTGCCACAAAGGGGCCTCACCAGCTGCAACCCCCGCCCCCCAACTCTGTCCTGGACTGCAGGCCTCTGAGCTGTGGGAGGTGGTGGAGGAGCCCTGGGGCCCGCGGGGTGCGGAGGGTACCATGCCGGAGAGGCAGGAAGGCCACCTCCTCAAGAAGAGGAAGTGGCCTCTGAAGGGCTGGCACAAGGTAGGCTGGGCAGGGCAGGGGGCAGGGCCCGATTCGGGGCAGAATGGGGAGGTGCTGGGACTGCTGGGTAGTGCTGGGTGTGTGTGTGTGTGCGTGTGTGTGTCAAGAAGGAGAAGAACAGTCCCTGTGTACGGTTGCTCTCTCCCCCACACCCTTTCCTCCTCTTCACCTGCGTCCTGCTCCTCCTGGGCAACGTCACAGAGGTACTTTGTGCTTGAGGACGGGATCCTTCGCTACGCAACTACTCGGCAAGACGTGAGTCAGCGCCTGGTGGGGGTTGCGGGAGAGGTCTGGCCCCAAACGCCCTGGGCAGGCAGGGGGCTTCTAGAGTCCCCCAGATCCCGGGGCCTGAATCCCAGTGCGCCGCTCCTGGGGGTGGGGCCTTGAGCAAGCGTCTTCCCTGGGCCTCAGCTCCCTCATCTCTAAGAGGGGGACAGTGCGGTCACCTGTTTGTAGGGTCATTGCCCTCTTGGTAAGGGCCCCCAGGACAGTGCTTGGCACAAAGGTGCCTAAGACAGGGAAGCTTCGCCATCGCCCGCCTTGTCCCGTTCTCGTGCTGGGGATAAGGAACGGAAGGCCTGGAACCCGGCCTTCCCTGCAGGCCCCCGAGGGCGGGGGTAGACTTCCCTGCTCTGTGGCTCCCTGGAGCTCAGAGCATGGCTCCTGAGTTCTGTACACAGATGGACGACAGAGAGGTCCCTGTCAGCTCCGTGACTTGGGCCTGAGGGTGAACCCGCGGCAGGAACATGCTGGCTCCATGGCCCAGAGGTCTAAAACCAGCCCCCTCCCCGGCCCCCGCCCCAGATCACCAAGGGGAAGCTCCATGGCTCCATCGATGTCCGACTGTCTGTCATGTCCATCAACAGAAAGGCCCAGCGCATTGACCTTGACACCGAAGACAACATCTACCATCTCAAGGTGACATCCCTGGGAGCCGGCTGGTGGTTTGGGGTGCACGGGAGAGGGGCACAGGGGCTGAGGGTCTGTCCCTGAGTTCGACAGGAAGGGAGCTCCCCTCATGTCCAATGGCCAACAGCAAGCCGCCCCTGCTGGTGGTCAGGTGGACACACACAGAACCGAGGGCTCAGACACCGGGGCCCTGGCGTGAGCGGGACACTGAGGGAGAGAGCCTGCCCCCCTGGGGGCCAGGGCCCCGGCGCCCCGCCCCCGGAAAGGAGCTCTCCTTCCATGTGTCCCACGCCCTCCCCGACGCTTCTGCAGATCAAATCCCAGGACCTGTTCCAGAGCTGGGTGGCCCAGCTACGTGCCCATCGCCTGGCCGCGTGCCTGGACGTGCCCAGCAGCACTCACCGGAAGGTGAGTCGGGCCCCGGGGCAGGAGACGTGGGGATTCAGGCGCGGCGGCCTCAGGGAGCAGCGAGACCCTGAGAGGCGGGCGCCATCGTCCTGACCCTTGACTCCCCACACAGGTTCCCGGTGCCCAGCTTCCCACGGTGGTCAGTGCTTCGGCTCTCCCTGGAGTTGGACCTCGGGAGAAGGTGTCCTCCTGGTTGAGG